AACTCGAAACCCAACGATCGCCCCACAAATCATTCTTTCCTTCTTTCCCTCTTCCCGTCATCTACCTCCTCTCTCCCCTTCTTTCTTGACCATGCCCAGAGAAGTCTTAAGGATTGTTGTCGGCTTGTTCGTCCAGAAGGGCGCGGGTAGTCTCCAGCAGGTGCGATTCGTGGGTTCTAGCGTTGATTGATTGCAACTCACTTGTCCTCCGTGGATAGGGCGGTCTACTAAGCGGGAAAGATCCCTCAGAATTTGATACCCACGACCCCATCCGTCTTTGGATTGTTCAAGTCGGTGAGTCTGCACTTCGAACTTTCCACCACGCGCATACACGCTGATGACGAACGAATTTGGGGCCATAGGTATCATCATCGCTACCGCCAGCTTATTATCTCTTGGATTACGGAAGCTTCGACAACCCAAAGTGATTGCAGAGGTGTTGGGGGGTATTCTTCTTGGTGCGTTCCCGCATATATGCACCCTTTCCAGTCTTTTAACCTCTTCCGCTGTCAGGACCTACCGCGTTCGGCCGTATTCCTGGGTTCACGGAGCATATATTCCCTGAAGAGTCAAGATCCTATCTCAGCCTCGTCGCAAACATTGGCCTTTGTCTTTTTCTATTCCTCGTTGGCCTCGAGATTGACGGCTCCGTAATCAAGCGTAATGCTCGTCTTTCTGCGACAGTCGCCTTTTTCGGCATGGTCATCCCATTCGCTTTTGGGGCTGCATTGGCGACTCCCCTATACAACACCTTCATCAAGCTCGGTGCTCCGCACGGCGATCCTGAACTAACCGGACCCGATGGTCATGGTGTCCAGTTCTCCCACTTTATGTTGTTCACGGGCGTCGCGTATAGCATCACCGCATTTCCAGTACTTTGCAGGATTCTCACAGAGTTGAAGTTGTTGGATACGACAGTTGGGATTGTCGTGCTCTCTGCTGGTGTTGCAAACGACGTTGGTACGTTATTTTCCCGGATCCTCCTTCCCGTGTTCGTTTTTGACGCATATATGCAGTTGGATGGGTTTTATTAGCCTTGTGTGTCGCTCTTGTGAACGCAAACTCCGCATATATGGCCCTCTGGATTTTGTTAGCGTGTGTTGGGTGGACAACGTTTATGCTATTTCCTGTACGGATGGCGTTGAGGTGGCTCGCTCGACGAACTGGGAGTAGTGAGTTTGACTTCAGCTCTTGGCTGTTCGCCTTCTCTAATTTAACCTAGTTGAGAGTGGACCCACCGTCTTCTTCATGACAGTGACCATCTTGGTCGTCTTCGGCTCAGCCTTCTTTACGGATATCATTGGGGTTCATGCTATTTTTGGTCTGCTTCCGTACTTGATGAGCTTCGCAGACTTCTCACTCCCTGTTTAGGCGCTTTCATTGCGGGTCTTATCGTTCCTCGTCAAGGGAACCTCACCATAGCCCTGACGGAGAAGTTGGAAGATATGGTTTCGATTATCTTCCTTCCTCTAGTAAGTATAATCTTCTATTATATGCGCCCATATACCCCTTATTTTCCCGATGCGGCTGACACACTACCTTAGTACTTTACCTTATCCGGTCTTTCGACTGATCTCGGGCTCCTGAACGACGGTTTGTGATCTACTATCCTTTTTTGTTTCTCCCTTCCATTTCGACTCTAGGTATCACCTGGGCCTATACGATAGGGATAATCTTCCTCGCATTCACCGGGAAATTCGGAGGTTGTACCATTGCTGCCCGTTATTTTGCTCATTTCAACCTTCGAGAAGCCAGCGCAATAGGGTCCCTGATGAGTTGTAAAGGCTTAGTAGAACTTATCGTTCTCAATGTCGGATTGAGCGCTGGAATTCTCTCTCGAGTGAGTTCGTTGCCAGAATATGATCACAACCCATACTTACATTACGTAGCGCGTCTTCTCCATGTTCGTCCTCGAAGCTTTATTGCTTACGTTTCTCACAACGCCTCTGGTGACTGCGTTGTATCCACCCCATATCCGTGTGCGTGTCGCCCCTAACGGTGCCAACTTTACCAGTCTTCCCGGTGATCAACATCACCCTCAGAGGAGAATCGAAAAAGGACGCCGTGGAGACGCCAGCGCATCTACGACAACCGGTGAGGTCTTTGGAATAGGGAGGATTCGAAAACGTGTAGGATTAATCTTGGACAAACTGGATCACTTACCTGCCGTGATGGCGGTTACACAACTCATCATACCCCCTTCCTCGCCCGACCATTCTTACGATAACGAGTGGAAGAAACGCCGTTCAGTTACACTCGTTGACGCGTTCCAAGGCACGCCTGGTGGGAATCATGAAGGCGCAGCCTCCCGTCATTCTATCTTCATCTCTGCCCTTCGATTAATCGAATTGACGGATCGACATTCGGCCATCATGAAGTCATCTCTCTCGACTTCGTTGTTACAATCGGACCCCCTGTTAGCAATTTTCCGAACGTTCGTGGCGCTGATTGGACTTCAGCAAGGTACGACACCGGGCAGAAGTGGTGATATTGATGAAGTTGAGTCCCCTGCTGTCGAGGGTACCGGAGGACAGGCTCAGCGTCCCTTCGACAATCATATCGCCAGCACGGTTGTTAACCCTGGAATCGAGATCGTTCCGCAAGGTGACATGGCATGGACGGTTCGGGAATGGGCAGATAGGGAGGATGTGGATATCGTGATCGTTCCTTGGACGGTACAGGGGTTTAATCAAGGAGGAACTTCGATGATGGGGTCGCGATTGGGTGCAGAATCGACGGGACCAAATTCTCCACGAATGGGTGAGCTTTTGCTTGCTCCAACTCCACCTACGGACGCCCATGGTGTTCCTTCTACTCCGAAATCTACCCATATTACTCTCGTCAATCCATTCGAAGGACTCTTTGGTCGGGAATCTGGAGCGAGTGGAAGTGGAAGTGGGACAAATGGGACGGTTAACCGGGGTCGACGGGGAAACGCTCCGTTTTATTCGGGATTCGTCAGAGGCGTGTTCAGCCACGGTAAAAAGAAGGACGTTGGATTGTATGTCGATATGAATTGCTTTCAAGGTGGGTTCTTAGACTTTGGGTTGGGAACGGGGCTTGGGCCTGGTGACGAAGTCGATGGTGAGCTATTGGGAATTCCGTCGAGACAACACCTCTACCTTCCCTTCTTCGGAGGACCAGACGACCGTCTTGCTTTGGAGATGGTGGTGCAGCTTTGTTTACGAGAAGGAGTCGAAGCCACTGTGGTCAGATTTGTGAAGACCGAGGCCGGCGGGAGTACTGTTGGGAGTGGGATGGGAGTCGACGATGTCCAGCGCCCTAGTCCTGCTGCTATTCGAGGGCAAGGAAATGAATTGTTGACGGTGGAAGATTCCAATGGGTTGACCGTTGCTTCTGTAAGTCAGTTTACCGACTGCGGATTTTAGTGTGTACTCATTACCCGTAGGGTCATTCGATCATCCCCGACACCGTTTATGGCGACTTGAATACGGAAACACGACTCCTCTCTGACACGGCTGATAACTTGGTCTGGGCTCAGTGTATCAACGCTCAAGGAGGTGCGAAGCTAGACGGTGATGTTTCGGGACAGGTTGGTGACGCGTTGAGACGGATTCGGTTCCGGGAGGTCAATGCCAGTGGACCGTTGAGGGTGGCGCTGCAGGAAGCAAAGGCGTTGATGGATGGGGAGGAGGACGTACCATCTTCCTCTGAACGTCCAAGGATTAGGAAGGGGTTACAACGTCGTGTGGTTGTCATCACGGGGAGATCACGACGATTGGCTGTTGAGGACCACGGGAAGGAATTGCGGGGTATCGTCGAAGAGTATACCTCGAGTGGAGGTCAATTCGGTACCCTTTCTGCTGGTATTGGTGGAACGGTTAGTCATGGTGGAGGAAGTGGGAGCGGAGCCGTGACGGGATTGGCAGGGGATGTGAGGAAGACAGTGGGTGATGTTGCGACTGCGTTCATTGTTTCTGGTGTCGGAGCCGGGGTTTTGGTTCTTCAAGCGTCCGAGGAGAGGCGTAATTGATGAGGTTGAGTTGAAAAATTGTCGAGAGTAGGTGGTAATGGGAAACGGACTCGGGCTTTGATGTATTCGTACGCAACTTGCTTTCGTGTTTTCGGTATTCGCTTTGGGTGTATCATACGCGTTTCTCTTTGGGAATTTCTATTCGTAGGGACTCTTAATGTATTAACTATACGTCAGGGTCACTGTTGAACGTTGAACGTTGAACAACTTCAACGACGGGGTTGACAGTCTCAATCTCTCATAGTACAACGGGTTAGTACACACATTGCGGATCAGTATTTGGGTTCTCGATTATTGTGTGGGATCTGGGTTCGATTCCCAGTGAGAGAATACGAAGCGTCCGGAGCTTTTTTGTATTCTTCTCGCCTTTTATTCCTGAGTCTTTCGACTATCATGAACTGATGTGTCAACCCCTTACTCCAGTCATCCTTTGATTGACCCAATCCTGACTCTGAAGGTGGTCAGATATGGCAGGCCTCTGTGGAACAACGTCAAGGACGGTGTTGAATATGTCGATCTCTCATGGTATAACGGGTCGATACACACGCTACAGATCAGATCAAGACGCAATAATGTTGTGGGTTCTGGGTTCGACTCCCAGTGAGAGAATTGGATGTCCGTTTGGCACTATATTTTTGGTATTTATTGGTGCAGGACCCAGTGCGAGTATCAAAAGTTCCTTTAACCGATCTAATTTTCCTCCAAGCATTTATCTATTCTACGACAAGGCTAATCCTCTATGGCTTCAAGCTTCTGAGTTTCTACATAGACCCACATTTCAACCACCAAAGTCAAGGAAGAGCCCCATTCATTCTATCGAAATGTGCAAGGTTAACACGCACGACACGGGGTTTAGGATTGTTGAGATGGAGTGACAACGCGCAAAAGGGTATGCCTGCCCTTTTACGAGCGATGATCATCGTGGCGATATCAAGCTGAGAAATTTTACAGGACCCCACAAAGAAGTCGTAAACTTTGGGAAACATGAAGGAATTTCCGATTGGTCGTCCATTACGATCAAAACTTGGCGTCAACTTGAATAAGGTTTTTTCTGTTAGAAAGGCATTGTTTGAGAATACTCTGAACGAGAGTTTTTCGAGAGAGGTGAGGAAGGGGGAGAGGGAAGTGATTATTTTAATGAATCCGTCTTCTGTGATTTCGCTGTAGTCGAGATGGAGTTCCTTCATTTGGCAGCGGGAACGGGTGAAGAGGTCGACTAGGGCTGATCTGGCCTCGGGCTTGGATTCACGAATAAGCATATGCGCGAGGGATGGAGTTGTAAGACGGTTCAAAAGCGGATTAAGGCTCTCGCTGTCTCCAATGCATACGTTATCCAGATAGCGAAGGGTTATCCGGTGGTTAGACGCGGAGGTATTCGAAGAGGATTTGGGTGAGGCTTTAAGACGAAAGACGAGAACTTTACGGACTTGAGGAGCCGACGACAAACATGTCAAGAGCATGTCCGTCGTAACCTCAAAATTGATACCAATCGAGGTCAATTGCGAGAGAGGTGCGGAAGGTGGGACTCTAGGTGGTAAATCCTTGTGCCACATGACGAAACGGAGGGCAGGTGACGTGTGAATGGTGTCCCAGAGCTTTTGAATGTCTGCCTTTGGCCACCCGAGTTCGAGGCTAGCCTCTTCGAGGTTTCTCAAACGACTGGGCTCGATATTGGCGAGTTGTGGGATCGTCCCTCCGACGATGTTGAATTGTATCTTTTTCCAACGCTCTGCGTGGGCGATCCAGAGATCGATAATATCGAGCGTGCATAGTCGTTCATTGACTATACCCTGCATACCGTTCCTGTCAAGGTAGCTCTTGTTCATTCCAAGATGTTGCTCGAGTGCGAGGTTTAGAGGGAAATTGGGGCCAGAAAGTTCGAGATAGAGCTTTACTGCTTCGACAGTCTTCTCCGTTGGGTGATAGATGGTGATCGATGAGAATATTTCCGGCATCGATCGGGTAACCACCCTCCATGCTTTACAAATATGCCCCAACTTCAGACCTCCTAGGTCGAGGCACGGTACTAATTCTTGAGGATCCTTTTCCCAATTCGATGCAAGAGGGGTACTCGATGCCACGAATATGTCCTGCAGGACTTCGAGTGGCAAGTTATGCAGTGGGGGAAGTTCTTCTGCGTCGGTTTTGAGCGATACGAACCGGCATTAGTTTTTAGAAGAGAATAGCACACCATATAGTGCCCCACGAGTCTCATTCGACGCGACTGAAGACATAGTCCACTTCAAATATACTCTAGCTTTTGACCTGTTGAATGTTGGACGTCTGCAGTGGCTTTATGAATGTGTGGCGTAAGTACGCGTAAGTCGCCACAGCTTTCCTACCTTTTCTATATTTTCTACCTTCTCGGTCCTCCTGGTTATATAGACAGCACAGATACCACTGTGGTCTTACAAGAACACAAAAATCCGCTTCGTGTGGTCGTCGGCGACGAGAACGAGATGGTGAAGGACAGATGACGAAACGACAGGTGACTGTGACAGGACAGGTGACGACCATAATAGCCGTGCATCAGTGACTTTGCGTATCGTTCTCACCTAAGCCTCGAGGCAGAAGACAAAGTAATAAGCAGACGAAGGATTATACAACCCCACCAACAGGCGGCCACTGTTATCCTAGTGTCCTGCTCGCTGGTTTTTGTGTCAAAGGATTCTCGCAACATTTGCGTTGACCGAGAGCTCTCTCATTGTGCGTATTAAATTCGACACAATGGCATCGTAGGAATTGATAGGAAAGAGAAGGCTTGAAGAGGGGATGAGGAAGGTGGAGTAAACACCAAATAGGTGGTTCTCCAGATTTCTTTTTTCAATGACCATACGTTCGATTGATAGCCAAGTGAATTGCGACCTCTCACCGGATTATGGGTAACATGCACACAGCAGATCTATCATGCCTGTGGTTAATCCTCGGGTGAGAATTCGTATAGTCTACGTGAACCTTTTTGCGTTTTACACTTATTCAGGTTTTCTGACACTCAGTTCGTTCGAGAGATGGATAGAGCGGAGGAACAGAGGTCCAGCGGATAGAGATGGTGATGTATCTCTCATCGTATGACGGTTTAGTACACACACTTGAGATGGCAAAGGGAGGCATTGCCAATGCGGGATCTGGGTTCGGATCCCGGTGAGAGAGTATGGAGGGAGACATACCGTAAATCTTTTTTTTCGTCAAATTGGCTGGCAAGGTCAAGTTCATGATTTGGAGCAGGGGTGACGACTCAGGAAATTCAAAATAGTGATCCTCTACATCCAATGGACGAGATCGACTAGTTACAATGGTAAGTCGACGTTTCCCGTTCTTCAGGTTGTTTAGTCGTAGACGAGGATTTGTCTTTACGACCCTTCGTCCTAGCCCCAGGCGTGTGATCCAAATTCGGGTTCGTATGTTTTCGCAACCTCTCGCCTCGTGTTTCCGTAGCTTCTTTGGATTCGCTGTCAATGTCAAAATGTTGTCGAAGGGAACCAACTCCTGACCAGATGACGAGATTCTATTTTTAGCGCGCGTCTGTCGACCTGTTCGGTTCGAGTTTCCCCGCATCGAGGCCACCTCATGACCGGCACATATGGAGCATTTTGACTTCATGACAGCCTCCCGGCCTCGATGCAGTCATCATTCCTCCCAATCGTCGACGTGGAAGATAGACGTTATCAATATGAATCGATGTGACAGGCTCAAGGGACAAACTCGTCGAATTGAGCTTATGTGCTGGCTCCATTCTTAAACTTCCTCCGCATCCATCCTATCACACCGTAATAATCGCGGATTGTGGGGTGTAGACCCAGTGTGGGCGCATGGGCTGGGTGAAGGCGGAGGGTAAGGATGATGACGAGATCTGTGATATCATATGGGAATCAATTATCATTCCGGCCCTGACATGTAATTTAAATTGGAATGAGGCCTGCGTTTGGTTCGGTTTCGGTTCCTGTCCGCTTTGCCGCCCACCACGACGACCTGGGGTGACAAAAGGCCCTCATACCTTGCTGTGGCCTCATCGTTTCTTCGGGCGCTCGTTCTTCACCCGGCTTTTTGACGTCTCACATCTCACCATCTCACCATCTCACCATCTCATCTCGTCACCGTCCGCAATCGAGGCACCGCTGATTTTGACGACAAATTGGACGAAATTCTGACGAAGTGTCAAGTTTTTTTTACGACAAGACACGATCAATGATGATCCCAGGATTCATATCTGATTCTCAGTTTGGCGGAGGAAGAGAGTTTTCGAGGACGGTGGTTAAGTTGTTCAAGTATAATTTCGAGAAGAGGGAGGCACAGGAGCAGGTATGTTGTTTTTATCTCTTTCGTTTTAGTGTTTCTCCGGCGTGGTTCTGATTCTCTCTTTTAATCCTTTTCGTCGTCCTCATCGTCTTTCTGGTGTCGGTGTGGTTTATGCCGTGTATCTTTGGCGCCCGACGTGTAGGGAGGTCTATTGAGCGGAAAAGACCCAACAGCATTCGACGAACCCGATCCAATTCGGTTATGGATCATTCAAGTCGGTAAGCTCCTCATCGCCATTCAATTCTCACTTCTCAATTCTCACTTCTCACTTCCTCCCAAAGGCGTCATCATCACAACCGCCTCCCTCCTCTCCCTCATCCTCCGAAAAATCCGTCAACCAAAAGTCATAGCCGAAGTCCTAGGTGGAATCCTCCTTGGTCCAACCGCATTCGGACGTATCCCTGGATTCACTCAACACATCTTCCCTCTCGCTTCTCGTCCCTACCTCTCACTCGTAGCCAACATCGGATTATGCCTATTCCTCTTCCTAGTCGGACTTGAAATCGATATGGGTATCATCCGTCGAAATGCACGGTTGTCATTCACCGTAGCCCTTTTCGGGATGGTCATCCCATTTGGATTTGGTGCTGCCCTCGCAACACCACTATATGATGAGTTTATTAAGGAAGGAGGGAAACATGCAGTGGATGCAGGGATCGTTGGTGTGAAGTTTACACATTTTATGTTGTTTACGGGTGTGGCGTATAGTATTACGGCGTTTCCGGTGTTGTGTAGGATTTTGACGGAGTTGAAGTTGTTGGATACGACTGTGGGGATTGTGGTTTTGTCAGCGGGGGTTGGGAATGACATTGGTGAGTCAATTCTTCAGTTTGTCGTCTGTTGTGGGTTGGATGGGACGCTGATGTGATTTTGTTTTTTTTGCGGGGCGGTAGTTGGATGGGTACTTTTGGCGTTGAGCGTTGCGTTGGTTAATGCGGGGTCGGGGTTAATGGCTGTTTGGATTCTTTTGACGTGTGTTGGGTGGACGCTATTCATGCTTACATTGGTGAGGATGGCGTTGATGTGGTTAGCCA